GCTAGACTGGGAAAGACTGAGGTTCATGGTAACTAAAATGAGCATTGGAGAACTTCTGAGTAGTTTGATTGGATTTTAGTCAGGAGGCCCTGGTGAATGTCAGCTCAGGTGCTGAAGGATTTGGCAGAAGGAATCATGGAACCCTTGGCAATATTATGTACAAAGTCATGGGAGACAGGTGAGATTTCAGAGGTCAGGAAAAGGGCCAACAGTGCCCCTCTTATGGAAAGGCAAAGAAGAGGGCCCATGAAATTATACAGCAGTTAGCCTGACTTCAATATATAGGAAGTTACAGGAGCAGATTATAAAAGACATTTGGTAAACATCTGGAGGAGGAAAGGTAGCAGCCAGCATGGACTTGCTAGGAACAAGTCATGCCAAACCAACTTGATCTGCTTTTTTGGCAAAGTAACTAGTTGGGTGAGCGAAGGGAGTGCAGTGGACAGAGTATACTAGACTTTAGTTAGGCTTTTGATAAAGTCTTTCAAAATGTTCTCATAAGTAAACTAGAGAAATGTAGGCTGGATAAGACTGCTATAAGGTAGGCACCTAAGTAACTCAATAACTGCAAGCAATTGGTAATTGTGAGTGGCAGGAGGTTTCAAATGGGATTCCACAAGGTCCAGTGCTAATTAGCCTGTGTGTTAATAATTTGAATGCTGGAATAGAAAGCTTTCTGATGAAATCTGCAGAAGACAGCAAACTGGGAAAGATTGCAAAAGCTTTGGAGGATAGGAGTAGAATTAAGAGTGTATCAATCTTGATAGATGGGACACTGGGGATAGAGACAACGTAATAAAATTCAACGCAGAATGAAGTTCTTCCCTGCTACACATAGGGAAGAATGTACAAATAAACAATGGGAGATAACTGGCCTTATGGCAGCATTGCTGAGAAGGATCTTGGAGTTTGGTGGGTCACAGACACAACATGAGTCAGCAATGTGATGTAGCTGCAAAAAAACCCCCCAAATACAACTTTGGGCTGCATCACCACTTCAGGTGTAAGGCATAGGAAGTGATACTACTCTACTCAGTGTGGGTTAGGTCATATCTAGAGTATTGTTTGCAGTTCTGAGCTCCACATTTTAAGAATGGTGTGGAGAAATTGGAAGAGGGTCCATGTTTAACTTGGGAGAAAAGGCAGTTAAGGGGGCAGACATGATAGCAGTCTTCAAATGTTTGAAACACCCATAAAGAAGAGGAGGAAGAGCTGTTCTCCCTTCCCGCAGAGGGCAAAACATAACAGGCATTTGTTGATTAGTGATCTTTATAATTAGCCTTTACATCTGTTGTCCTCAGTTTCACTGCATTGTTCTATATGCTTTCCTTATGACCAGTCATATGTGGTGCCATTGACTTTTCAATATACTGATTAATGAACTTATTCAAGTACAGCATCCCCTACACGTCTATTGTTTCAGGTTTGGTCCCAAAACAATCCTATGTGCTTCTGTCTACTATTGCAGTTTGTGCCAGTTCGATCCATCTCGTGATGTTCTTGAACAGAGCCGCATGTTCTGATGCACTCTGTTGCCCTTTACAGAACTCGGGGCTTCCAGGCCTTTAACTCTTCCTAGCCTGCCTTGTGGTCTGCACAGAAGAGAGAGCGGGCTGTCAGTGATCAGGCCCCCTGGCGGTGGGAGAACTTAAGGAGCAGTTCCGTATTTTCCCCTGGCTGGAAAGCAAGATGTTGAGATGAGTTTGTAGCTCTTCAGCCAGGGGGCTGGAATATCTGTATGACTCCATGGCACTGTAGTTTTGTAGTGCCACAGAGTGCTGAGGCACTTTGTATTATTACAAATGCATATCTTGTATGTAGCCACAGGTAGTGGAATTTGCAAGGGTCTTGAGTGGATGCAAAAGCAGGTGTCTGCATATAACAGATATTTGGTAAAAGCACCCAATGGCTTTTGCTCAACAGCAGGGATGTCAATATATGACCTGCAGGCTGGATTTAGCCCATGGGACCATGTTATCTGGCCTCAGGTTTCCTAGAAGGGCCAGGAATTTGAGGGGGATGGGGAAGGGGAGGCATGCAGCAAGCAGGGGTGGGGCTTGCCACAAAAATATGGGGTCCAGAGGCCGCTTGGTGATGTCAGAGGTAGGAGGTGAGTGACAGCTGTATTAACCCTGTGCCACTACCACTCACCGTGCCACTGCTGCACCTGGATCCAGCCCACAAAGAGCTCTGCAGTCCAGATCCAGCCTGTGAGGAGGGTGAGTTCAACCCCCATTCCCTAAAGTGTAGGCACTACTACATGGCTTCTGAAAATGGAGCTTTGATGTATTTGGGGACATTTTCACCATAAATATAAGCAGAGCCACCTCCTCTTCTGTATTCATGAAGATATTTGCCCCTTCAGGGCAGGCCGTGGGATGTGTGTTGTTTTGGCTTGCCTTTCTTTTTAGCTACTTGACCAGCTGTAGTAAAACTCATTGGTGTAGAATGGCATCTGTTAGTGAGCCACTTTTCTATTCTCTCATCCATGGCAGGGTGTGAATTCGAAGACCAACACACCAGTAGAGACCTGGACCGGCTCCAAGGGGAAACAATCCTACACGTACATCGTTGAAAAGAACGCCACGATGAGCTTCACTTGGGCCTTCCAACGGACACCGTATCATGAGGCAGTAAGAGGGTGGTGTCACAGTCCCAGGTCTTCATAGGACATGACCCATTAAGAGTTGATTGCATCCTCCTTTCCTTCACCAGTCCTGCAAGATGTAGCTTCCAGAACCTTTCAAATACATGCCATGCCCTTTAGTAGAACAGGGATAATCAGCAGAGAGGAAGGATGACTCAGGCTAAATCTATATGAATACTTACTGCTCCTGGCAACAGTGCCCTCAAGAACAGTGCATTGCCTCCAAAACCAGAAGCAGTGTAGATGCATCTGTGAGCAGGCTAGTTAGCTTGGGGACAGGCTAATTAGCCTGCCAGGCTATTTGACCTCCAGGGCTGCCCCCAAGCAAGCCATATCTGCTTCCCATTTAAGAAACAATTCAGCCAGTGCACCAGTGATTTAGGGCACTAACATGAATCTAGAAATCCATGTTCGAGTCCATGCTTTGTCACAAGCTTCATGTGTGAGCTTGCTCAGATCACTTAACCTCCTTAGGCTTCTGTTTCCCATCTCTCCTACTGGGATAGTGGTACTTACCTGATGCCCAGGTGTGGGCAATGATAGTGGAGAAAAATGTAAGGACTCAGATATTCCAGTTGTCTGAGTGGGGAAGGTAGAAGTACTCATGACAGATGGTAGAAAAGCTCTGTCCTACTGTAATGGGCTTGATTCTTATTTTTATCTTAAATTATCCAGGCTAATCTCAGTAAGATCCTGAGTCCCCAGTTCTGGCAAAAATGCTACTTCATAGATTCATAGATTCATAGATTAAGGGTCGGAAGGGACCTAGTAGATCTTCTAGCCCGACCCCCCGCCAGGGCGGGAGAACAACAAAAAACCCCAAAAAGAGAAA